GGGAAAAGGCAAGAGAACGTTTATTAATTGTGTACCTTAATACCCTTTTTATACAAGACAATTAATTGCTGTTGTTGTACGAAATACTTTCTACTGAAAAAGGTTTGGGGCTAAATTTCTAAGACTCGAAAACGAACTGAATGGAATGAGAAACTATTTCAAAATATCGCTCCTTTTCACAAATGAGCATTTTCAGAACAGAATCAAAACTGATGTACAAGAAGTTTTATAAGAACATCTAAAATAATAATACTTCCAATAAAACTGTAAAATGAATCAAATGCATATTTTTTCTTAAATAGCGTTTTTCTTAAAAACATTAAAATCTGGAGCATCAAAATTCATTTTTTGTAAAGTTTTCTTGTTTAGAAGTTATTTTTTTACTAATTTTTCAGCCAATATAAGGTCCCAATGACACTCAAGGTAGAGGGTTGCTGCATTAGGTTTCTGTATAGCTACAAGAGGAAGAAGTGCAGATTAGGATATATAACGGTTGAATCTAGACTTGAAGAGGTTAAGATCGCAGAAGATCGCCGAAGCATCTTCCTAGGAGTCTGTTCCATAGAGTAGTGGTTCTTTAGAAAGAGCTATCCCAGAGGAAAGTTCTTTCTTACCAATAAAATACGAAAGGAATGAGGATGATTCAGCTTCATGTAGGGTGGGTCTGAGCTTTGAAGATGAGAAATGTTGCTCGTCAAAATATTTGCCATGGAAACACTACTCATAGGGCCGGATAGATACTTTTTAATTTTGTCAATGCTGGAAAGTGAAGATTGTGCAACTCCAGACCAGATATGGTAGGAATACTCCATTTTTTTTCGTTTGATATGACTCTTGGAAAGATAAAGCATGGCAGAAGGAACAAGGTACTTTCTGGAACAGCGCAAGGAACTGACCATTTTTTCAGCATTTTTTTAGCGATGGATCGTATATGTGAAGTCCACGAGTCCTAGCAGGAGTTCAAGGCAAGGTGCCTCGTTGAGTGTACAACCTTTCATCATGACAGGAGAAAATTCAGGGTCTGCTCGGTGTTGATGGAACGTTATATTTTGGTTTTAGAGTTACTGGACGTTGCAAGACAATTTTCCACGTTGAACTGTTAGAGCTAGATCAGAGGATAGATCAGCTGTAAGGCCCTGATTATTTAGGTCTTTGGAGTTGCACCTATAAACTGTGGTAGTATCTGCAAAGATATTTACTAATGTATGAGATTGTTTTTGAGTAGATCGTTAATATAATGCAGAAAGAAGGTAAGGCGGAGGATAGAGCCTGCATTGATTATTTAGGTCTTTGGAGTTGCACCTATAAACTGTGGTAATATCTGCAAAGATATTTACTAATGTATGAGATTGTTTTTGAGTAGATCGTTAATATAATGCAGAAAGAAGGTAAGGCGGAGGATAGAGCCTTAGGAGACGCCTGCATTGATTTCATGTGCTTCAGAAGGCCATTAACGATAGATCTACCCAATAGATGCCATATTGCTGGGATGTTTATGTAGCAACCCTCTTTGCCACACCTTGTCAAATAGCCTTTAACATATCTAAAGCAATCGCTCTCGTGGTGAGTTTATCGAGTGCTTCACTTATTCTGTGTGTAATGACAATCGACATCAACAGTGGACGTAGAGGGACGAAATCCATATTGTTGAAAATAGTATCAGGGAGTTTGCTGATGACACTAGGTTTGATGGTGCGATATTGTGAGGCTCACCCATATTTTTGAAAACAAGACATAAAACTGACAAATTTTATAGACCAGGAAAACCTCCAATCAGAGGTGAAACAACTTTGTCAAGATTGGATATAATTCTAGACTAGGTTTCTTAAGAATCTGTGGCGTATTATTATTATGAAGTGTCATAAATATTCTGATTCATATCAAGCGAGAATGTTTTTACTTTCGAACATCTTCGGAAATATAACATTGTGTTCCGCTTAAACATTGGATCCTATCATTCATATGGAACATTCTTTGTTACATACCATCTACCTCAACACCATTGAAAACATTTATTAAACTTAATAGACGTAGTATTCGTAAATAATCCATGTCCTCAGTGAGAGTAACACGAAAAGAAAAAGCTATAGCACGAGCCTACAACAATAAAAATGTACAACCAAGCATTAGACAAAATCCCCCCTTAAAAAAAAGACAAATTCAGATAGTGAATACATACCAATAAGTAGGAATTTTTCAAATATATTAGTGCAAAGATCATTAATGCATATAACTGTGTCGTTTGTTAAATAAAGTTTTATTACTCAAAATTCTTAACTAGTGTGTGCGCAGGCGCGTGCTTGCGTACGTGAGTGTATGAGTGTGCATGTGTGTGTGCGAATGTACAAATAGTTTATCAAGAATTCCGATGTCGAAATTTTGCTCATTACACTTTAGAAATCAAGGTAGAGGTGACATCATGTTATCCGATAACGAAACCATTTACAAAACAAGAAAGTTACTTCTTATATCATTTTTAAAAATTAGATTGGAGTACAACATCATCGTGAGAGCTTTATATGTATGTATATATATATATATATATATATATATATATATATATATATATATATATATATATATATATATATATATATATATTATCGCTTTAAACTTTATTTTAGTGGATATCCATATTTAAGAAAACATTCCGTTTATTTTTTTAACACTATGTTATTTTCGTCTACTGGTGTAAATATTTGAGAAATCTGATTCAATCCTGCGTCTCCCTTTGCAGGAGAAACATTCGTTAGATCCGACGTACTTTTAACCGACTCGGCCACGAAGTGCGTCGTCAATTAAGCAAGGTTGTGTACTGCTTTTAAGTATATCCTTCTCGTTTAGATTCCCGAATGTTCATAACGAGAAGGATGTACTTAAAAACTGTACACAACCTTGCTTAACCGATGACGCTTTTCGTGGCCGAGTCGGTTAAAAGTACGTCGGATCTAACAACTGTTTCTCCCACAAAGAGGGACGCTGCTTCGAAGGTCGCACTTTTCTTTAATAAAATTTCTCGAATATTTATATTTCCAATAAGCAAAATATTTTGCTCTCTTTCAAACCGAATTTAAATTGATTGGAATGTTTTTTTTAATCGCTAAAATCGGTCATATCGACAAATCTATCAACACATGATTCCCTTTATTGAAAAAATCTTTCAAAAATTAAATATACGTTTCTAAAATTTTATTTGAGGAAGATTAACTGATTTAAAGTTTAATTAATCTGAATTAAAACAAATATTACTTACTTTTAGTTTAAAATATCACAGAAAGCATTTTTAACACGGGCGTGGGTGTTTTTTTATGGGGTGTTGAAAGATTTATCGATATAATAATAATAATAATATTTGGAATTTTTAAATAAAGGACCCATAACTATAAAAATTACTTAACGAATACAACGTGAACGCCTTTTTTAATATAATTTCTTTTAACTATCCAGTAATCTTAAAAGTTTAGGAAAATATTTTAAGTAATCTAGTATTTTATTTAAATTTTAAGTACTTAGTATTTAGTTTTATTTACGAATAAGCTTGTTGAAGAAATTGAAGAAATTTAAATTTACTATATTTACTGCTCTTATTTTCTGATAATATCGTGTATGGATGTCCGTATTTACAAAAATCGGCATATTTATACATACACAAAACTCTTTTTAAAATACTAGGGTTCGCTAAATTGTAGCAAGCTTTTCCATATGTTTAGTTTTTACTTAATAACAATATCACCTAACCGTTACAAAGTAATATAGAATTTTAAAAGATTTAATTAAAATTTTTAAAAATGAAAACAATTCTTGTAAAGAATAATTAATCCTCGAAATTTCATTTCTTAGTTTTATCGTATTTTTTATGTTATGATTCAGAGTATATTTTTTGTAACTGGGGGTCCTGCTTAACCAAAAAACATTTGATGATTTAAATTCTCCATGGACTCGTCCTGATAACTAATATAAAGATTAAGCTTTACAAAAATAATTTCTCAAAATTTCCTAAAATTAAAGAAGTGAAGGATAACAGATTTAAAAAAAATAGTTTTACCAAGATTTTCTAAAAAGAAAAAGAATCTTTTTCTAAAATAATTTAATTCGTTTGTGAATACATTTAATTTATCGTGTAGTTAATTAACAAATTTGTGCATCTTTAAATTCATCGACCGAATTCTTACAATTCGCAGTTGACAATAAATTCTAGGTTATTCTTAAGTTCGAGGAAACTTCGGACTCTGACATGTTAAAGAAAGAATAAATTTAAAACATGAATGGATATTTTTGTGTCTGAATTTATTTTAGGATTAAATAATGTTGGTAATAAGTCAAGTAAACAACACTATCTGAATTTTATGGATTTTATAGGACGTTCAATATTATCACTCAAATTTATTATGAAGTAGAAATCAGATTTATGCATTAATTTCGATTTTGAAGGCAACAGAAAATTCGCCCTTAATATTAAAGAAAAGTAGAAAAACAACATCCACTCAAACACTTGTACTTTAATCTTTTATGTCTATATTATTAAATGGATTTCTAATGATGAGATATTTCTTATATATTTTGTAATTTTTTTAAAGATTTTCTTCGTTTCATTTATCTTTTTACTTATAATTTTCTTATTTATAAACATTTTATTCTTCCATACATTTTAAGCACAAGTTGAAATAATATTGTGACTGTGACAATATGTGAACACTGCGTACTATTTTTTGATGTGTATTCTTACAACATGAGGGGCTGAGCATCTATTCGTTAGATGCTTTTCATAAGTAAATCTGCTCAACTCGATCATCTTCGAACATGTCTTAGTGTAAAAAGGTTGACAGGTATTTTTTGTTACAAAAATTTCCAAGCAACCAATTTCTCAAAAGCATTGCCACTGACACAAAATGACAGATGAATTTGAAACAACTCTATTCTTCATGTTTAAAAGCATTTAACCTCATCTAAAAACTTACAAATACCATTGAATTTGTAATTTCAAAGTTTGGTATACTTACCAATTGCCAGCTTGTACATTCCTCCACCAGCAATGATTGCTATGGCGAGTAATTTCGAAAATGTGAGTACATTCTGAACTGTAGTCGCAACTCTTACACTCCAGGCATTAATGAAAGCGATCAATACTAAAAAGTCAGTAAAAAGAAAAATGATTGAAATTGTTGCAATTTCGGAAAAAAGTTACAAGTTATAAGAAGCTACATCTCTCTCTTTCTCTCAATCTCTCCCCCACTCTCTCTCTCTCAAAGACCTGGACAATTTCATATGCCTATTTGAAATCAGAAAGCAATTTAACCGGTTTTTAAATACAAATAGAATTCCTTTTGTTTCATGGAATATAAATAAAGATAGGTACCTCCACAAATTTTCGATACCTAAAGTTTAAAATGATTTTTTTTTAATGAAAAAGCTTTCATTTTAGCTTTAATTGAAAGCTAAAGGATTAAATTTACTATTTTTAGTAAGCAAAACACTCTGGTGTATTTCAAACAGAAATTATATTAATTGGAATCGAGTTTTTAATTTTTTTCTAAAATAGCTGGTTAGCACCCTGTTTTAGTCGTCATACATCGCAATGTAATTCTCCGTATTAAAAACTCTTCCAAAAAAATAATATACTTTTCTGAAATTTTATTTGAGGAATATTAGCTGATTTGGAAAAAAATATTATTTACTTTAATTTTAAAATAATACAGAAATATATATTTAAAACAAAACAGTAACTGTGTTTGTAACCGATATCGCCACGTTTTACGTAATTACATAATTATATAATGATTGTTGTCCTACAGAAACTTTATCTGTAAAACATAATTTAAGAAATATAAGTTAAATTGCAAAGCGTAATTGCTAATATCCAATCAGAAAAAAATATCTGAATAGATGAAAAATTAGGAAATAAATCATTAGGAAATAAATCATTAGGAAATAAATCATTAGGAAATAAATAAACATTCTGTCAAACCAATTCAGGTTATTGTTATCTTAGTTAAATTTGATATTTACTCACTTTTATCCAAGCACACTTTATTTTAGCTTATATATTGAAAATGTTTCCATATTTCGCTGTCAAATGTTAGGCAAGATACCTGAATGATTAGTAAAAAAAATAATTATGAAGATTGAGTCGGATTTACATCCGACTCAATCTTCATAATTATTTTTTTTTGGTCTTGTCCTAAGTTATATAAAGTTTGGAGGCCTATTGATAGTAAAAAAAAACTACAAACTAACGACAGAATTTTAAAAGATTGAAAATTTCTGAATTCCGTGCGAGTATATTTCACCGGCCTCACCACGAAGGCTTGATGTGACACAGGGTCATTTTAACGTTGGAGTCCCATATGCATATGCAAGGATAAAAATTGTTGTTTTGCGAATCCCTGCGAGCACTGTCACGCTGGCATTGTATAGACTTTGAGGCCGTAATCTGTAGTTTCTTTAAATGATACCTAAATACAGCAATGACAATCAATTTACTTAATGCTATTTATGATCTGACCAACGTAAAATTATGTTCCATAATTTATAATTTATTTTTGAATCAGCAAATAAAACAAAACTTATCATACCGTGGAAACGTTTAAATATTATTAATCGATGACATGAAGTGTCGCGATATAAATTATTCGAAAGATGTTACAATATGCTACAGAAACTTTTGATATAATTATTATTGAAAGTTATTCATGTTTTTATTATGCCAAACAATACAAAATAGAATAGAGGCTTAAATACACTTACACATTGTGCAAATTGTGATAATTTTCACGACTGAGTCAGGAGGATCACAATTTTCATAGAATGGTTTTGCTGCGTAGGTTCCAAGAGACAGCGTAATGAGAGCAAACATAGTGGGTCTGATGATGAAAAGGCCAACCCAATCAAATAGAAAGCATGGTATGGGACCAACCATCTTGCCAAGGGGTCCGTAGGCAAAAAGAAAGTAAGCATGCTCAGCTCCAGATTTCGGTACACATGTGCCAAGTTCGGCATATGACAATGCACCTAAAAAAATATGATAATATTATGAAAACTGAAGTTTATCTTTGAAATGTATGCAGGAAGGTAACATCAGCTAAATGACAAACTTTTACTCACATTAATCATATATATATATATATATATATATATATATATATATATATATATATATATATATATATATATGTGTGTGTGTGTGTGTGTGTGTTTAACTCACCCATGGTAGCTAGCAGCCCACATCCAACCCATACAATCATGCTAAGAGCAACAGATCCAGAATTCTGCAAAACTCCTTTTGGCGAGATAAAGATTCCGGAACCTGAAAGAAAATAATAAAATGAAAGAGTTATCAAATACCAATAAAATACACAACATATGTTCAATCTTTCTGATCATTGAACACTTCACTGATTCACGGTTTGCTTCAATCATAAAAAAAAACATATTTTCTATCATAAATCTTTGCTTCAGTTGGCAAATTTACAATATTCTGATTGAAAATTTGCCATTGTCAGGATAGTCATTCAATTATCAAAATCGCTGATAAAATTGTGAAGTTCATTGTTCTCACTCTAGCTAAATATTTTATTTCACCTTTTTCTTTTCCAATGTTTCATTGGGTTCATACTTTAAGGGCGATGGATGGCATGTTCGGTTCGTAAATCCCATCGCTAGTATAATGAGTTCGGTTCTCATCCGTGTTTTAATAATATAGCTTATCGTGGTACTTTAAGGAACTTCTTTTTACTCATTCGTCTGTTTGCATCTGAATACTAATCAGTGTCATTGGAGTTTATATACAAAATAGTAATCAGTGTTATTGGAATTTATATAGGTTGACTATGAAGGAGTGATTCTAGAGCTGTGAAATCTTGTATGCTTTAATTTCAACTTTTCTTATTAATAACTGAATTGTTTCTCTCCAGGCAAACTGATCTGACTGTTTAAAGAAGACTTCAAAGTAACAAGTAGCGACTTCTTTTGAAATTGGACAACATTTGGCATTGTGGGATTATCAATGGTCTGTAGAAAAAGGTTTTAATCCTCAAGGACATTCATGCTAACATGGTTGCTATATTAGAGGATGACGCCTCAGCTTTATCAACGTAAAGGTCGGAATCTGAATTTAGAAGGGGAAGGAAGAGTCTTGAAGATGACCAATGTCTGGACGTCCTGCAGCTGCCACCATTGAAGAAAACATTGATCGTATTAACCACATGGTGATGGATGACAGGCGATTTAAATAAAAAAACAAATAGTATTATTTTATCTCGTGAGAGAATTGAGAATATTCTGCACAATGAACTTGACATGACGAAGGTTTCTGCTCAGTGGGTTGCCACGTCTTCTGACACTTGATCAAAAACACACAGGTTATTTACATCACGAGAAAATCTGAGATTGTTTGAGGAAGATACAGCTGGTCTCCTTGAACATTGCCTAACCTAAGATTAGTGTTGAATTCATCACTTTAAGCCAGAGACCAAAAGACAATTCATGCAGTTAAAACATCCCTCCTCTCCTGCTCCAAAGAACACCAAGATTGCGATGGCCTTGGGATACAAAAGGCGTTGTGTTTATTGACTATCTTCAAAAGGGCCACACTATCAAAGGAGAGTACTATGCCAACTTATTGCGGTAGTTACAAAAGGTTATGAAAATCAAACATCCAGGAAAAAATAACGAAAGAGGTCTTGTTTCATCAGGACAATGGTTTTAATGATTGCTGTTTGCGACTGTGTCTTTGAATTGGTCGATCACCCTCCCTATCATCTGTTCCCCAACATGAACAAAAAAACAACAAAAAAAAAAAACACATGTCTGGAAACCATTATGTTAGTGTTGATGATGTCATATTTGCTGTTAACTTTTTTTATCAACAAGACGAACAGTGTTCTTTGAACAGTCAGATGTCAGTTTACCTGGAAAGAAACAATGCAGTTATTAAGAAGAAGAGTTGAAATGAATGCATAGAAGATTTTTATAACATAATTCCTTCATAGTCAGACTATAAACTTTTCAGCTCACCTTCCTACTATATGACATTATAGTTTCAGACGAGATTTTTGCGAAAATAACAATTCAAAATTTCAATTCAATCACGAATTCAAATTCGACGGAATTATTTCTTTATAATATAATTATTTTAAATTAAGTTTTCTCTTTCTGCCTCTCTCTACACACACACACACACACACACACACACACACACACACATATATATATATATATTACTATAAACGTTATTTGTAGTGGATACACGTGTTTGAGTTGCTATCCCTGTTTTTATTTTATCAAACAGTGAAATTAATAACCAGCATAAATTGAGAAGTTCTACTAAAGAAAAATTGTGCCTCTGACTAGAATCGAACCTGCATCCTTTTTTTGCATCAGGGAAAACACAATTTTTTAGTAGGACATCAATTTAAGCCGTTTGTTATTCATTTTATCGTTTAATAAAATAAAAAGCAGGGATAGCAACTGAACGACACGTACCCAATAAAAATAACGTTTATAGTAATAAGAAATAATGCTAGATACCATATATATATATATATATATATATATATATATATATATATATATATATATATATATATATTGAGAGACACTCAGAGATCACAAAAGCAATGAGAAAGTTTTAATAGTATGTGGATTTTCTTTTGGCTAATATATGGAAAGAGATCAATATATATATCGAGAGAAGCAGTAAGGAATAAGAAGACTGAAGGAGTTTGCTCCCATAATCAAATCGAGTAGCGACATATGTAGTGTGTGGATATCATTAACTTGGAAGCAATAAACTTGGTACTTCAAAGATGTAGTAGCGCTTCGGCTTACAAAACTGAGGGAACGATTCAGAGGTCATCACGGATGTCGCGGGGGGGGGGAATACAGGAACGTAAAAATATGAAGTGTGTATGTGAGGCGGGGGTACAAGAGATGCGCATGCACTTCTAAAGTATGATTCGCCAAGATGCTGAGACATAAAGAGATTGTTTTAATCGAGTTCACCCCCAAGTAAAGCAGTAAAATCACTAAGACACAAGGATTTACTGGGTGTGGGAGAATTAGGAACAGAAACATTAATAAGGAGCAAGAACAAAAGAAGAGTAATCAAGAAGACAGTAGATAGCGACTGACATTGCATGGAGCCGGAAGGGAATTCGACAATCGAGAAGTGCAAGAAATGAAATTGTTAGCATAGAAGTTACGGTTACATCTAGACAACAGTAAATTGATGAGACTTCATTGCCAGTCTAGTACTGCGCTTAAATTCATAAAGTCTAGGAAACATACCGAAATGTTCATCCGAATTACCATGAAAATATTTATAGAGAAAATATTTATATAAAAAACATAAAGCAATTTTACGGTGATGGGAAAGTGAGTGAAGATTAGACGCCAGGTCAGGACCAATAATATTGCCGATTTTTCTTTCGATTTTATTAAGAATCTCTAAATATAGCATGAATACCGGATCTGAGGCAGCAATATCCAAAGTATGGACGAATGGTAGACTTATAGATATGTAAGATAGATTCTAACACGATATAATAAAGCTGACCTAGCAATGGATTCAATCTAGTCTCTCTACTTCATGTCAGCCGAGAATATTGTCGAGTATTTTTTTGATTTTGTCATTTTTCTGCTATTTTCTTGTCAGTCTTATAATTTTCAAAGTAAAACTTATCTAAAAATCTAAGTAGTAAATACAGTTTAGCAAATACATTTTAATTCACGAGTACGTCAGAAATTACGTCTATATTTAAGTTTTTTTGTAATTGGGTTGTACTTACTTAAACATATCAAAAACATTTCGTACATTTTCTTGTCTATACAACTAGTATGACAATGGTCCTTGTTAAACTGAACAAATAACATTCTATTCATTATTGAATAATTATAATTTCTATGTCATTAAAAAGAGTTCACAACATTCAAGATACTTTGAGGAAAGGAGAAAATCCCTTTCCGATGCAAGTAAATAACAATCTAATTTATTATTAAAAAAAGGAGAATGACAAGTTTAGTGGCGTCGGATTTTTAGCCGATTGTGATATTATGGACAATAAAGGCGAAATGTTACTAACTTCTCAGAAATACATAAAATAATAATCATGAATACATCTTTTTCACATTCGAAGAAGCTGTAAATGAGGTTGAAAAAGATTAAATGGAGAAACAATGAAATTGACTTCATAATTTCTACCAAAGCCGATATTGTTAAAGTTGTAACCGCCATAAACAAAGTTAACATATAAAATAACCATAGCTAGTAGAGTTAAATCTAATTTTAAAATCGAGAGGAAAAATAATCCCCAGAAAAAATATCCTAATCAGAGATATCAGAGAGAATATCAGCAAATTTCAGATTTGCAGACGTTGTAAAATAATGATAATTAGATAGACAATATAAATAACAAATTATTAAATATAAGTAAGAAAGCTGTAGAGATAACCAGGTAAATAAACGGAAATAATAGTTTTTTTTTATGTGCCGTATTTCTTCATGACGTTTGTGACCATGGCTCTCCACAGCTTCCTGTCCCTGGTATGCTCTAAGCAACATTTGACTCGTTACCGTTTCTCTTTGTTCCAGATTTGCCATCTATTCACACCAATCTAGGTTACTTGTTATTTCAATTGATTTAAAATATCCTGTGTGTATTAAATTCTCCAAACCCCTTTTCCTCATTATGTGCCCAGCAGTTTTAACTGTTTCTCGCTGATTGCAAATATTTGTTGTTCTTATTATCCTTATAAGAAAAGTAAAAAATAAACAATAGAACTAAATGAAAATATGACAAATATAAATATAGCTGTAAAAACTAAAAGAGATAAAAATGAAAATGCAAAATTAAACAAACTGATAAATTAAACAAACTCAATTTGAAACGATATAAAAGAAAGATGAAGCTGAAAAAATAGAAGCTATTAGAAAAGGAAAGAGCTTGAAACATATTCTACCCGCAACCCACATAGATGAATTGAATAGCGATATTTAGAATTTAGTTGCTAGAATAACGAAGGAAGGATTCATATGCAAACATATATCATATTTGCTTCAGAAATAATAATATCACCTTCAGTCTATCCAGCAGATATTAGTGATGTTCCTAAAGTAACAGTAGATAAAATAAGGGTTGCGTTTCAAAATGTGAAACGCGGAAAAGCACCAGGCATCATTATGATAGTAACAGTAACATTTAAAATATAAAACATTTGAAAAAAGACATGGGAATTGTATCACCATTGCGTACAGAAAAAAAAATTCAGCATAAGAATAGTAATCTTAGAGAAAATTAAGACATTGGA